GTTTTGAGGTCTCTTAATATGCTGTATCTGTACTTGTTATTGTAATTAATAGATATAGTAGTTAATTTATAAGTCCATTTAATCAACATTTAATGTTTCCCATGCATGTGGTGTTTTCCTATAAATACTTGTTACACTCATGTAATTAGTCGCAAATGTTTAAATTTATTTTATGTAAGTGATAACAAATGTTGGAAGACCTTTTAAATAAATAAAAAAAAATAGATAGCGGTGAAGTATCTTACATAATGTCAAGGACCGTTGGTAGTGTTTCTCTTTCTTCTCTTATACTACCACCACTTTATATGTTTAATATATTTATAAACATTTTGACCTAAAATGTCGAAATAAAATAGTAAAGAGATTGCTCAAATTGGCCCAAATGCACAAAAAATATTGACATACACGGTAATTCTTGGCGTAATTTGTAATTTAATTTACAGTCATTAGATTTCAACGGACACCTTTGTTTAATATATTTACTTTAAAAAGGACTTTTAATTTTACCGGTTTGGAAAACATACGAATCATTTTTAATGGTTATGGGTGTAGTAACATTCAGCCAAAGACTGATCGAAGTTGTTTATATAACATAAAAACAAATCTATTTTGTAAAGATCGATAAAATAAATCATTGTTTTATTACACTATTACACGGTATTAATATCCACAACTATATTTTCATTTTCACTACATGCAAATGTGCTCTGACAATTATTTTATATAGTAGGCGACACCATAAAGTCTATTGCCATACATTTTTCGCTAAAAACATTTTTATATACATTATAATCTATTTAGACTTTAAAATATCTATCTATGGGCCTACGTTGCCTGACTATAAATTAATAAATAAAATTATAAGGTGTGATACACTAAAAATCTAAATTATGGTTATGTTAAAAACATAACAAAAATAATGAAGCTACTGAATATATGCCTATATCACCTAAATCTCTTAGCTTTCTTTGGTTAACGAGAGTTTAAAAATTCTCTGTAATCTGTGGTTCATTCACAATCATCACACAGTTTCTGTCACAGAGTACCTATAACCGGAAATTCATAGATGCCACCTGATTGTTATTTTCACTGAAAATAACTCTTAGGGTGCGGCCAGAGTGCACTCAGATTCAGAGTCAGATTCAGATTCTGAAAACAAGCGCGAGAAATAAACAGTGTAGTCGAAGGGTACGGCCAGATTGCACTCCTGATTCAGATTCAGATTCAGACTCAGAAAACAAAGCGCGAGAAAAAGCAGGCAACCTGCTTAGACTACACTGTTTATTTCTCGCGCTTGTTTTCAAAATCTGAATCTGCCTCTGAATCTGAGTGCACTCTGGCCGCACCCTTACGCATTAACTTTAAAAACAGGCAACTATCTGTTAATCTACATGCTCTATATACCTACCTAATCCATAAATTCGGTACTTGGCTTCATTTCCCTAGTTTACTATATAACTTATTTGTTTTTGAAGTTATACTTCTTTAGGCGCGTTATGAAAAAATGATGAGAGTGAAATTTAAAGATGCGCGCGCATCACTGTAACACAAAAAATTAACAGCATGAAGTTGGTCGCTTTAGCGACCATTTCATCATTTCATCATGCTGTTACTTTTGTGTTCACGCACATTAAGAAAATCTACCAACAAAATAGAAATAGAATCTCTATTTAGTGGGTGCTAACGACTGCATTGTGAAGGCCTATCAAAAGTATTTATTAATCTGGAACAACGGAACCAACGCGCGATTCAGGAGACTACAGCGCCATCTCTTGACCATTGGTGTAGTAGAACCAAAAACCACATCTTTATTTTTTGTAATAAAGTAACAGTTATAGATATTCATATTTATAATATTTATCCACATGTTTCTAGTTTGTATATTCGGAATACGTGTTTGAGTTTCATACAAGTGCAAATCACATATGTTCTAATAAATTATATTCAGTAGCGATTTTAATTGAATATTTTGATTATTTATTTATTTTTTCAAATTAAAACTGAACTTTATTGACTGTGTCCTTTTCCAGACTTTTTATTAATTTATTGTAATTAATTATTTGCATGCAATTAAAAACTAATTTTAAACGATGCCAAAGAAGGATAACTTCTCACGCGCCTACATAAGTACACGCACCCATTTTTTTATTATTTTAATATGTTCAGTGTATATGGTTTATAGAAGTTCTCAGGGGTGTCCGTCAATAATATTCGTTTCTACAGTAATTTATATATAATTTCGAATCTAGGAAACAATTTTTCATGATTATTGGTCTTTAGGCCAAACATGTATGGAAGCTGAGCAATCTCCTTTAAATAAATCAGGAATCTGATCTACTCAAAATATAATTTTGAATAAATAACAACTAAAATAAATCAAAACCAGTAGCCTAGAATTCCGTTAAGTAAGGATTGTTCCTTACTTAACGGAATTCTAGGCACTAGGCTATTTCAACACTCAAGATACATTACATATTCTAGAATAAATCAAATGTTCCCAATAATTGGTCCCGATTATTAAAGTAACTTTGTTCCTTAATTCTGTTTTCATTTAAATAAACTTTTTGATCAAACCGATTTTTTTACAAATAAGTTTAAAATGAGTATTTATCAAATTCATAGTATTAAGTGGAGCTGATTACGAAAACAATTTTTTTCTCGAGATCCAAGATTATTATTAATGTTTCTGATTTTGGGACTATGTAGTCCTAATGGCACTGTAGTCACGGCAACTGAAAAGATCGATTTTGTGACTCGCCGACTCGTTAAAGTACTTATCTTTTTTAGCCAGACAGCTTCCAAGGATCTCCAAGTTGGCCCAGATGAAAAGTAATTATGTACCACTTTTGTGAATTACAATAAAATACGTTACTACATATAAAAGAAACGGTGTTTTAAAAACTTCAATAAGTAAAAAATAATAGAAGTTATGGCGAAAACAATTATTTGATTTGTCTAAAAAACCTAAAATTCCTTTTAATACAGAATCTTAGTAATATAATTTTTTATCTCCTAGACTATAGAGAAATCCGAATTGTAACACCCGTGAACAAACGTTCGTGAGTATATCGTAAACATTTTTTTTCGCTACACGATAATAATCACGGTGCAACTAAATAAAATATAGGGCTTCGTGTGATAGTATTTTCCTATTAATTGGTCATTTGATAGCTATTAAAAAAAGTTTGTTAAAAGTTAATAAAAGTCGCTCGATGAGGGCAGCTGAACTGATAACTAACTTCTTAATTTGATTTACTTACTCCTACCTTTACGCTGTTTACATAAATGTATTGCCAATAAACAAACAAACAAAATAAAAATAGTAAGTTAATTATGGTGTCGATTCTGGTATAAAGTTTAAATTTTTGACAACAATGATGTCGATTCTGGTATGATTCTCTAAAGCTAAACTTAAATTTGACAACAGTGCATCCTTGTCCTTCTCTATACAGAATGAAAAGGTGAGACTGACCTTAAATTTAGTTTTAAGTTTAGAGAATCACGCCAGAATTGACACCAATGTATCTTTGTCTTTCTCTACACAAAAGGAAAAGGAGTGACTGATGTGAAATTTAATATAGAGAATGCCATTAATATAGAAATGCATGCCAGAACCGACGCTTACGTATTGTTTATACTTTTTTACCACATAAAAAATATTTTTAATTTTTATATCCAGTGGCCATGAACGTTTTGGCGGAGGGGTTCGCCCGCCCATGCCATATCCAGTGGTATATGCTCTAAGAACGATAAGTATAGAGTTGTAAGGGTACGGCCACAGTGCACGCAGGTTCAGAATCAGATTCAGACTCAGAAAACAAGCGCGAGAAATAAACAGTGTTGTTTAAGGCGCTTTGCAGACGACGGGGCGGGGCGGGCTTTTTGTCCGCGAAGCAATAAAGACCGCGTCTGCCCGTCGATGTCTGCGGCTGCCCGCGCCGTGAACACAAAGCACACGACGCGACGGGCAGAGGCAGTCAGTTCAGGACGTTCGTTCAAGTGAATAGTCCATCACTAAAAAGCGCGTGGCGCGGACTGAGCTAGCCACCCCGCGCCGCCGTCTGCGTTACTGCATATAAACTGGTTTGTTTAATCCACGGCGGGCAGCCGCGGACATGCCGCGCCGCCACTGCCCGCCGGGCACCTGCGGCGCGGTCTTTTTGCCCTCTGTGTGCGTTTGAAGTATAGGATTCACTTTGTGCTATTATTCGCGGCGAAATTGACCGGCACGCCCCGCCGAATATTTTCCGTTACTTTTCTTAAAAACTATAAAAATGTTTATTTCATATACAGATGTATCTAAAAACTCTTGTATCTTGTAGAAAAGGTTCCCGTCATTGGTTTTATTGACTAAATTAATGCTGGACGCAGGATTTGTGAAAGGAGAAACGACAAAACTCTTTGACTTAGTAGGTACATTCGTAACCTTAAAAATTGAATTTTTAAACTTTAAATATTGTTCAATGAGTACTTACATCGAATTGATGTTTGCAAAAAGAAATGACTTTCAGTCGATAAAGTTACAGGAATTAGAAAGTTTTTAACATGTGTTCATGTATAAGTGTATGTATTATTGCTCTTGGCAATTTTAACCACAACTTTCTAGAGTTTTTTACTCAGTGTATTATGATAACTAACTCTATTTTTCATGTGATCTATTAGAAATCATGGTTTTATAATACCACATGGTCATGGTCTACCGCAGCATGGTAAATGCTTCCAATGCAGCGATTTCTCCAAGAACTCTTAGTTCCATCTCCCGTTTTTAAAGAAATTATATAACAAAATACTCGTTTCATTCGGACTTCTTCATTTCACTCAGAAAAAAGTACGTAGATCTACGTACTTTTCATATGCAAAAATTACTAAATCTACGTAATTTTCTCATCGGGCCTACGCCTTTTTCAAAATCCGAGTTGGCAACACTGCCTAATGGGTTTGCCATTACAAAAATTAGAAAGACAGACATGTGATTGATTATTTTTTTATGAACGAAGCTGCTGTCTCTATTTGAATTAGGAATTCGGAATATCTAATAATTTTCATTGATTTATTTTATTTTATTTTCTTAGAATGATTGACGGTCGTGCAAATGTAAGTTCAATATTATAATTATTAAGTATGTGTCTTTTTTGTATACAATTACCTACATTATTGTTTTATTTTCAGGAACTACCCGATTTTCAGGTTTTTCGGACGGTAATAAAATACTGTTTGGTTATTATAATCGTGCCCGTCCTGGCATTTTTCTTGGCTAAGATAATAGTGTTCGATACTGTCTTAAGATTGGAACCTGTTTCAAGCAGTGTTTATTCGGCAGTTATAGCAGTCATCGTTCTACATGTTACTCTAGGGTTATACATTTACAGAGCCTATAGCGAAACTGAAAGGACTCCTTCTAAACCTGTGAAAAAAGATTAATTCCAGTATCATATCACAAATTTTGAACAATTAACAATCATAATGGACAGTTTATATTTAAAAGGAGAATTACTGCAAGTTCATACGAAGAATTCAGAAGTTGTTGAAGGAAGATTTTACAGTATGAATAGTGACAAATCAAGAATATCCTTATATAACATTAAGGAACCCCAAGGCATTTCATTAGATGGTGTATGTCACTACTATAATTCTGAAATACAAGATATAGTAAAGCTTAAGGATAAAGAAGTACCAAAACATTTGAAAATTTCTCAAAAAGAGTGTGAAGATATTATAAAACTTTCTAAGAAATATATCTTCATCAATCAGGTTGATAACAGTTTTCATGAAGCTCTTGATGATTTAAATCACTATAGCTATGTGGGCCTCAGTACTGATGGTGCAAATATGGGAAGAAAGTGCAAAATGCCTTTCCTTGTAATGTCTACACCACAAAAAATATACATATTTGACATTCAAGTGATGCAGTATCATGCTTTTGATGCAGGGCTGAAACAACTTTTAGAAAGTGAATCACCAAAAAAGATTGTGCATGACTGCAGAAAAGTCTCTGATTGTCTGCTACATAAACATAATGTCAAATTAAATTCTGTATTTGACACTCAGGTAAAAGAAATGTAAAATTTTATTTAAAATATTTTTTTAAATACAGATCTTAGGGCTTAAAGACATAGATCACATTAATGGGTATTCTTCGCTTGGAGACTAAGGTCTTCCTTTTTTGCTTACTTATTTCTTGGTTAAACTATACTTCCAGGGCCCAAGAGGTGATACTTGATTTTTTTTGTAGAAAAGGTCTCTTAAAAAAAAAACAAGCTGGTTTAACCTAATAACATAGGTTAGTTATTATAAGTTTTTAATTATTAATAAAAGTATGTGTGGAAATGTAAAAAAATATATTTCAGGTTGGTGACTTAATAATTACCAAGAACAAAATGGGATGCTTGCCCACCTCAGTAAAGACTTTATCAGAGTGCTTGACTTCATACCTTGGCCTCCAATCTAACATCATTGAAGAAAAGGTTTAAATTATTTTATGCTTTTGCGATACATATAATTTATAATAAATTTACATGATTTTAATATTTTTTACAGATTGATATAGTACAAAGTACAGAGCGTCCTTTGTCACTTAAAATCAAGGACACACTTGCTAAGAATATAGCATATCTTCACCGTCTCTCTGAGATTATCAATGATGAAATGTCTCTACCTTTTGTCAGAGGAGTAGAATGCTATGTTGAACATCTTCGATCATCCGATGACTTCAAAGCTTGGGAACTATGTGGTAAACACAATCAAATACCAAAAGAATTCAAGAATGCAATTGAATATTAAGTGAGACATTCCACACAATGAAATCATAGAAATAGGACTATTTTTGCACCTTTTTGTTACAAATTCTCATAGTATGGCTTCAAAAAATCTATCTATTAGGTACTATTACATACATAAGTGTAATTAAACTAGGTTCTCAGTGTTGCTTCTATCTATGTAGAACATATGGCTACACACAGAGATGATAGTTAATTATTTGTTTGATCAAGTATGATGCGGTTGGCAAAGTGGCCATATGTTAAATTTAATTGATGTCTCTGAGTGCAGCCAATATTAAATAAAATAGGTTTAAAGAAATATAAATATGCTTTTCTTGGTCACATATTTAGCCCTGAGAAATTATAGTCATATCATAAAGTATTACTACTATATAGATAGTGTGAGGGTGGTAAACAATAATTGCAGTTGAGTTATCTGTGATTGCTAAATAGCTTTTATAAAAATATCATTTGATTGCAACATGTCCTGAAAAAATAAATGCAATTTTGTATTCTTGTAATTGATATAAAATATAATAAAAAAATGTTTGCAGTATTGTCACAGAATACTGGTACCTATTGTATGTAATGGTAATTAATTATCGTGCTGTGAGTAAGATGGATTTATTTTGTGAGAAGGTTTATTCAGTAGTGTGACATTGACTTTACATATAACTAATAATATAATTATACTAGCCGCTACAAGCTTTTGTGACAAAATCAGGGCCTTGCTAAATGAAAAATAAATAATACACATTTAAGTGCTTAAAACTATTTGTTATTTATTTACATTATATCATTGATTTTGTCACGTGACCAACGATATTATATAGCCTAGATACTCCAACACGAACAAAATCATGGCCGAAAACCTGTCCAAAAGGTACATTGGACGATCCACGGAGTTCCATAAAATGATCGCGTAATCAAAAACAATATTAGGCGTTTTTTGAACATTGAAAGTCACCTTTACTGCATAGTGTATAAGGTCTTAATTAATACGCAAGCGTCATAGAGGTAGGACAATTCGAAATGCAGGCTCATAAAATTTTACGACATTGCTTTAAGCGGAAAATATAGACCTCATTTCTTTGACTATAAAGCAGATACGGACCGCGAGGAAAAGAGACGGCTATATTACCGACCGACCATGCATTTGAATATCACAAATATTTTCTATTAAATCAGTTTATAGTAAGTATTAAAATAAAGTATTAAATAATCGTGTGGCAACGAAATTTCAAGAGTTTTGATTTCTAATACAGTTGTTCAACCATATTAAATATAGTTGACAGTTGTTACGAAAACACAAAATAACGAACTTATTTGATTACTCATTTGTTATAGTTATCCAAGTAATGTGCTAATAACAAGATCTGTTTCAAAAATCGATATTATTAAACTACAATTGAGACACGATTTTTGCGAAGCTTAGTAGAATCGATACCATGCGCTTCTGAATGTACACGACTAACAAACCTGTGAGAATGCTCTTATCGATTATCAAATCTCAACCTTAGTAGTTAAGCTAAAAGTTGTAACTACATTGAAGATTTAGAACTTTGTGGAAGTCTCATAATTACTGTTGACTGTACATTTCATGAACTTATATCCATAACACGAACCATTATCGAATTCGAATAGTTGAATGCGATCTTGATACGCGTCAAAATGTCAAGAAGCCACCCAACGGACGTAACGACAAGAATACAGCCTTAGGATGATGCATCTCGCTAATACTGTCTATGCTCCACCCCATAGGCGCGTTATTGCGGCATACTTCTAAAGCGTCTATATTACCGCAGCAGTGTAGATAGCCGTTAACCAATATCGATCGTGCTAAGTGGTTAGGCACATTGAGCTGTTGATCCCGCCTGCATCTTTAGTCGTTAGCACCCACCAACCGGAATATTCAAACAATTCTCATAACGATAGTTGTGTTTCAAAGAAGTGCAATAAAATTCTCGGGTTGCATGTTGTTATTATGAAATTATAACCCACTAGATGGCGCTTTATGGGTTACATAATAAAAACTCAGTTCTTTAGTAACAATTAAATTTATGAAGCAGATTCTCTTAAAAACAAATTAGGATAAAAAGCTAGCCCCTCCATGGATTCGTCTCGGCACGCCATTCCTAAGCGCTCAGTTATAAGCAGATGTTCGCGGGCCAAAAGCACCGACACGTTGGCGATTTGCGACAGCTTCACGGGCGTTAATGTTTCGTTTTCTTCAAGCTGAAATGATAATCAAATAATATCCTTTAGTTTTAATTATTGATTCTGGTAATGGAGAGAAATAAAAACAATGCACTAGCTGTAAAGAACCATCTCAGAACTTTGCTTTATAATGAATGATGATAAAATAACTTGCCAATATATGTCAGTCATAATATTAATGACAAACATGTAATATGGCATGAGAAATAATAAAAAAGAAAGTAGGCCCTTTTTTTATTAAAAATTCAGACTCATACTACAAATCACATTGAGATTAATTGTCCCTTTTGAGAAAAACAAAAACATATTTTTTAGAACTTAAAATTGTATTACCAATCCACTTATGTTCTTGGCCACTTCCTCATCTCTTTGACTGTTTAGTTGTAATACACATGCACCACTTGGAAATTTTCGTAAGGACAAAGGTGCATCTATAGTCTGCAGCAATCTGAAACAATAGTTGAGCTATGAATCCTTAAGTATAATAAATTTTTTACTAAGGTACTTATAGGGAGTCATATGACGAAGACTCATTGGTAAATTTTATCTTACTTGCAAGCATTTAACAAATCTTCTGGTGATATAAGCTCTAATCCTCTTGCTCTATTAACCCGGCACCATACATCAGCTAAGGACATAATACCTCCACAATCCTAAAAACAATAAATTAATAAAAATAATATTTAAAAGGGTTTTAAAATACATATGTAGGTAATCATCTTTATAATTGAAACTGTAAATTACGCCTATACACTGAAACAGTACTGTCATTTTTGAGTACAGTACCCCTAGTACGAACCATTACCAAATTCGTAAAGTTTGCGAGTGCAAAATGTCAATTTCAAATTCGGTATGGAAACTTGAACAGCAGCGCTACAAAGCATGCAACGAGAACTAAAAATTAGTACACATTTGACAATGACATTTCGGACTCGCAAATGCAACGAATTTGATATTGATTTGTGCTAAGGGTACAGTTCTTGAAATTACTGTCTGCTGATAGGCTACTTCAACATGGAAAAGTGAGTAGTTGCTTAATCCATTTTATTTACTTCTAGTCTAGCTTGAAAGATAATCTGAAATACAAACATCAAATGATTGTACATACCATTAATACACCAACCATCATGTCAGATAACTGTTGAGCTAGCCCCATATAGTAATCTGAATCAGATCTAAATGTATCTCTAGTGACTGGATCATCAATACCAAGACTCATTAGGTAAGATTTGAATCTTACTGTATCATCTTCTGATATATCACCCTGTTTCTCCTATAGAAAATCGAAAAAGTGTGAGAAAATCAAAGTCAAACTTATAGTCGTTCCATTTGGATATTATAATTCTTTTGAATCATATATTATCTTCAGTACCACTCTTGAGAGGCCATTAATTAAGCAGAAAGAGACAGCGTTAATTTTTGCAGCTAGTAAAAATTAGATTGCTGTGTGTGACCCAATGTCAAAGAATGATTGTGACAACAGGAAGCGAGCATTTTATTGACCATAAATAACAATAGGTACAATACAATTACAAACACAAACATTGTAGACAATTAATAAAAGTTAAATAAAAAAGGAATAAAACTATTCGTCAAATAGATTCTGATTGGATTAATGTTAGAACTACCATTCAATTTGGTTTTGCAGTACCTTTGGCCCTTTTTTTTCAATGACAGGGAGTAAAAATTAATTATATCCATGTACAATGACCAATGCTTTGATGGTTTGCTATTTTCATAAAATAGCATCACAGGTGCTATGTAAGTGACCAAATGCTTATAGGAAATTGTTAAATTTTTTACTTTCTTTAAATGACAATCTACAGTGCTTACCCTGATTTTAGCTGAAATAGCCTTTGAAATAGCCACCATGTCTTTAGCCTTCTCCATTAGTTTTGTCAAATCCTGGAAAGCTACAGATATACTTTGATCAGTAGCTCTGTGTTGTTCTTCTATGCTTCTTTCAATACCAACTATTCCAGATCTGATTTTAGAGTTGACTGTTGGTCCAGATGGCTTTGCTGATGTAGTTGGGCTTGATACACTTAATGATGTTGCTACTGTTGAGGGACTTTCCCATTCTTTGGCCGCAATGGCATCATATAAGGCTTTAAAAAAAGCTGGATCAACACCATCTTTAAATGATAACTTTAAAAAATGGTATGTACTAACTACTGCTGGGCCTGGTCGTTTACCTGGTAGTAAAATGGTGTTAGATATACATTAAGATTATTTCTTAATAACATATCCATTAGAATTAAACACACCTGGTAGTGAAGGGGATAAATTTAGTATTATTCTTTTGGGTCCACCTAGACCAAAAACTCCACCACTTTCTTCTTCAATACAAAACACATAATAAAGATGTAGTGACAGGCAAACTAATCCTCTAGGTATATCGCCTGGTTTACCCCATAATATTCTGTGGGTAGTAAGTACTACTTCGCCATCTGTAAATTGAGTCTGAAATGAGAATAAGCTGATAAAATTAAAAATTATTGGAGACATTGCATCCGATATGAGCTTAGAATAAAATATAGTTCTAAAAATACCTTATCGTCGCCATCATAAATCTTAACATTTTTATCCCGTTTAATGTAATTTTCTCCTTCAAACAAACGTGCTTCTATATATTCGAAGCGGTCCATGGCAATTTATTAATCTAGAAAAGTAATAAAATAAATACATTTATTATTTTAATTTTTTTTTAGTTCAATTCTTCTCTATTGAGAAAGGCAAAGGCATAGCCATGCAGCCATCGTCTTATTTTTGTATTAATCTTACTTTTTTTTATTTTTTTAACTTTAGAATGTGGGTGTGACGCATTCTAATGCTTCTTAGTGTTTGGCACGAAATATATCGAGTTGGCTTTTTCGATAAGCTTCTGTGAGGTAGTCAACAATACAATAAAATTCTCACGTCCACTTGACCGGAATAGCGTATATTTTAAAGATTCCACTAATTCTTCAGTTGCGCAGACGGTTGTAACACAAAATGACACCAATTTTATTTCACAATATCCACTATGAACAAATTTAAGAATAATTAAAATAAGACGCCAACCGCACTCGATGAAATCCCGCCAAAAACTCTATTATTTTAAATTGAAGGCCAAGCAAATGTCAATGTTAGCTCTTGTTCTATGCTAATACTTTTCCTTTTTTGGAAGGCAAAGGAAATTAAATTTTTATTTACATCATGACCTTTCATATTAGTAAGCATAAGAATAAGCTAGCTCCTTGCTAAAAATAATATTACTAACGATATTAAATAAATAAAACATTTCGATCAATGCCAACTTAAAGAAAAAGCTCTTGTTAATTTTCTGTCACTGAGTTAGTACGGTTACACGCACGCATCACAAGAAAACATTACTTTTGAGAGTACTCGATTGTGCGAAGCGTTGCTGTAGTTGAAACATTGAACGATATGTATTATGCCGTTTAATGCGCTGTAGTGCTGTAAAACTGTAATTGGAAAACTACCTGTAAGAACATAAAACTTGATGTGTTGTACGCTAGCATGACGGACTCCTAGCGATTTCGCACAGTGACGTTTGGGACAACTCACTGACGTCAAGTCTACGCTGTGCTGGCTGTCTACGCACAGCTGTCTACGTCAGTCACAGACGAGGCAGCGCACATTGTGAAACGAAACGAAAGGAATTGTGACGAAAGTTTAACCTGCAAAGTTTGCAGAGCAAACCTACAATTACCTAGTACTGAGCACGGATCTAAGTACTTTTAACGGTGTAGCCTTGAGTGTACGTACACGTAGTTACTTACTTTTTGAATGTAGACGAAATAATGGCTGATACTCAGGACTCTTTAGTTCAAAAAATCAAAGAGCAAGGTGATTTTGTTAGAAAACTGAAAGCAGCAAAGGAGTCTAGTGAAAAGGTTTGTAATTTCCCTTACCTATTTTATGGTGAAAATTTTCTATTAGAACAATCATTCAATATAAATTAACTAACAAACCGTAGCATTGCATCAGCTGTATAACCTTACTCACGTTAACATTTATAGGAACAGAAGAAAGATTTAAAATATAACCTAGAAGAAATCGACAAATGGTTGTCTCATTACAGTTATATATGTGGCTATACCCCTAGCAGTTCTGATGTAGAATTATCTAAAGATTTAGGACAACAAAACGTAGATTTTCAGAAGTATCAATACCTTAAAAGGTGGTGGTACCATATGCGGAGTTTCAGCCATTCTGAAAAAGCTTTATTCCCTAAAAACATTCCTCCAATTGTAATGAGAAAAGTTGATAATATTAATATTTCCTTTTTAAATGAACAGGTTTGTTTTATCAAACTTTAATTATGTACCACATATGTATTGCTTGTAGTTAGTTGAAATTTTGCACCTCAAAGTTCAGTGCCATACCTCTACTGTAATATGAATGAATTTGGGAATCTCCACATATGGTTATCTCATCAGTACTACATAAATTGTGATTATTTGAATATATATTTATGTTCTATTTGCTTTGTTTCCGGTGTTAATTATTAAACAAAGATGTGGTGATGAGAAATCATAAAATAGTGGAAAAACTCATTCAAGCATGTCATGTAAGATGTTGAGGTTTGGCAAAAACTATGCAACTATTTTGCAAATCCACAATGCTGTTGTCAACAAAGCATTTTCTAAAACTATTGCAACATCTCCTTGCAGTAAGGTATTAGAAAGGTTTCACCTTCAATTAGCTAAGCTGAAATGATTTATTTAGTTACATAATAATTTTTATCTTACTTTGAGTAGCTTTAAAACTATTTCCTTTTTTATTGTACTGTCTGAAGACTGAAGTAATAGTAAACTTGTTGGTCAGTTAATAAATATATTTTAGTGAATATTATTTAGTTATCATAAATTACGCTTTTGATTTAAGAAAAATACAAAATAAATAGATTTTGTCACTTGTGTATGTACTTAAAAAAATATATATTATTTTACAGATAAAACAAGAAGTTGCAAAGTTGCTAGCTCTTAAAGCACAAATTGGGAAAGAAGATGAGGCTCCACAAAAGTTTACTCTCAAAACCCCAAAAGGCACCAGAGATTACAATCCTCAGCAGATGACTATAAGAAACAATGTGTTAGAGAAAATTATAACTGTGTTTAAAAAACATGGGGCTGAATGTATTGACACACCTGTATTTGAATTAAAGGTATGAATGATCATTACGTCAAATTACAATTGTTTGAAATTTTTTTTTTTTTAACATCCTGCCAATATTATAATGTCGTGTATAACTGCAGTTTATTTAAATTTAATTCAATATCTCTGAACCTAATTTAATATGGTCACCAGTGAAACAAATTTCAATAAAATGAGGTATACAGATAGATAATTTTTGCATTACCATATTCTAATAACATTACCAAACTGGTACCTAATAATAAAAAATAAAAAAAATATAGCATGCAATTTGGATATCTGGTTATCCATATTATTCAGATATTCGCCATATTCATGTGTTCTTCGAACATTTAATTTTATTTCAATTCGAAAGATTTTGTTTAAAAAAATGCATATCATTCGATTAATTCAATTATTTTTTATTTTCAAATTTGTAATAAATGAATACTTTTTTCAAACGAGTAATGCATGCCGTAATACCAAATTAATATCTTTACTTTGACCAGGATTGCAAATTATCAAGATAAATATTTTCTAGTATAATTATTTGTATCAGATTATTATTCAGCCATGAACAAATAATTTATACATACAAATAAAAGTATTTTTTGTATTTTTATGTATTTTTTCATTTATTATAAAGTCACATTTAAAATTAAAATATAGTATTGAAAATTTCTGTTTAATTTTTTTCATTAATTTGTGTTGCCTGGCTTCTGCCTTTTAGAATTTATTTTTATCCCTGATGTTTGGCTAATAAAGTCTATCAACCTTCACAACTCAAGTTGCCTGCTCTTCCTAGTCCATTTTGATAGGAGATTGTGATTGCAGCCATAGTTACTCATTCCAAAATTGAACTTACTGCATTGTTCTCAACAGGCTTAGGTCTTTAAGAAGGTTATAGAGAGATTTCGCTAGTATACCTATCGCTCCTACTTCTACCACACATAAATTAACTAGATAGCCATTTTTGTTAGTTCATTGGTTAGATTGTATTATTTATTCAATTTTATTGTGTGGTCTTTAGAAATGTTAGTTTCCCACTGTACAGTAAGCTCTATTAGTACTATATGTGTGATGTGCCTAGAAAAGAGGATTATGTCGGGCCTCGATGACGAACTACCAATATCCGGTATTTTATAATGCTTTTCATCCCATACGTAATTATCTTGATAATTATTTTTACTGCTGATAATTACTTTTACTGTTGATAATTACTGTTACTGTTGAAAATAATTATCCTGTGATTATCCATTCAATCCTGATTGTGACAAAAGGTTTAAGGTAACACTTTTTGAGTTCAGGCAGTTAAAGTCGCTGCTAGAAACTAGTATATATACTCCAAAATTAAGAACCATTAATAAAAAAAATAAAAAATAATACCAGCGACCACTTGCGATTGTATTTATCTTTAGTTTTTTAGAATCCCACTAGAACCTAAAAATTTTCTGAGATAAAAAGTGTACCAAATTTCATCCCGATCCATTAAGTAGTTTATGCATGATTGAGTAATAAACATACAAAATTTCACATTTATAATATTAGTAGGATAGTAGGTACAATATTAATATATGTAAGAGTAGGATTGTTTTGTCTTTTTTTCTGTGTGCACTTTAAGAAACACCATTCAGTGTTGGATGAAAGCACACAATTTTTATTTAAAATGTATTTTTTGTTTCTTACAGGATGTGTTAACTGGCAAATATGGTGAGGATTCAAAATTAATATATGATTTGAAAGACCAAGGGGGTGAAATCCTTTCATTAAGATATGATTTGACTGTTCCTTTGGCAAGATATTTGGCTATGAATAAGATTAGCAATTTGAAGCGGTATCATATTGCAAAAGTATACAGGCGAGATAATCCAGCTATGACAAGGGGAAGATATCGGGAGTTTTATCAATGTGTGAGTATTTTTTCATAATATAACCAATTTAAATATTGAAATTGCCGTCAGTTTAAGGCTTGTCAGTATCTAAGAAAAAGTATAGGAACCCATAATAATTATATTTGATTTTATGAAATTATGGGCCACTCATTGTCCTTAATGCCTATCAATGAGTTATTAAATAACAATTTTAAAAATTAAGGCGATTTGGATAAAATATTCCATTATACAATTTTTTTATTGGATACATTACTATTTGATTGCTTTCATTACAACTTGTTGATGAGTTTGATTAAATGAATTGAAGATTTTTTTTATCTCAGTTTTGATAGTAATGTTTTATTAAGTAAATCATTCTGCAGAGGGATAATTACTTGTGGCAATAATTAAAAAAAAAAACTTAGTGCATTTTCATTCTAGACTGAAATTGAAGCAAGAAATACAAAAGCTCAAATTTTCTGTGAATATTTTAAAAGGAAACTTGGGGCCAACTAAAGCCAAAAATGGTGTTGCTGATATTAGGGATTAAGAGTGAGATTTATTTATTTATGTTCATTTGGCTACATAACTGCATCTTTGACATTGCAGTTCTTGCAAGAAGGAGCTATATATGATATGTATAGTATTTTTTATGTATATATATTGACATTTTTTTAGGATTTCGATATAGCTGGCCAGTATGATCCCATGGTCCCTGATGCGGAATGCCTCAAAGTGGTTACTGAGATCTTGAACTCACTCAATATTGGGAAGTATACATTAAAAGTTAATCATAGACGGTTATTGGACGGTATGTTTGAGGCTTGTGGAGTACCTAACGACAAGTTCCGGTCGACATGTTCCACTGTTGACAAATTAGATAAGGTTTGTTCATTAACAATTATTTTTATTATGAATGTTTAAACTGATTCTCCCACTGATTCTGAGTCCTAGAATATAATTATGCATTTGATTATTATGGGATAGGATAGTATTCTTCTTTTTATGTAGATTTTTTTATGTAAATAACCATTATATTATAGACAGACTTTTTACGATAAGGATATAAATTTATACTGTTGATTTCTTAACATTTATATTTTGAATTTTAATTTTTACAACCAATACTGGTCACTCTATTATTTGTTATTAAAATACTTCAACAACCAGACAGTTGTATAGCCTATTTGATTAATCATAAACTGATTTTTTAAACTGTTATTTGAACTACATACTTGTATTATAATTTACTGTGTTTAGACTTGCGTAAATCGTTAAACAACATAGTAATTATAAAGTTCATAACAAGGTGAAGTAATAACGTAATCATACTAGCTAACATTGGAAAGATTGGCAGTTAGTCATATCATGCATAATGTTAAAGTTAGTAATGTCGATCTATGATCTTTAAATTAACAAACTAATTTATAGCCAATATTTAGGTATTTTAAATATTATATTTTTTATTTTTTAAGCATGTAACTGCTTGATGTTTAAATCTAAAGAAAATATAACTAGAAAAATATCCACGCGGTCCAGGCAGCAGACTGCTGCCTCTTTTGTTTTTCCCCATTAGTTCTCATACCTACGTTAAATAAATATCTAAGAAAGTTCTAGGTACTATTTAGTCAAAAAATATAATTAAAGTCATTATGACCTTATCTAAACCTTATAAAAAACTTGTATTTATAATTGATTTATTTAATTTTTATGATAGTCCCCATGGGAAGAAGTGAGAAACGAAATGATAAATGAAAAAGGTATCAGTCCAGAGGCAGCCGATAGAATCGGAGAGTACGTACAATTGAATGGGAGCACTGAGTTAGCGGATAAACTGCTTAAAGACGAAAAGTTGTCCAGAATCAAAGCTGCAATAGAAGGCCTTGAGGGCATAAAGATGTTGCTGGGCTACTGTGAACTCTTTGGCATTAAAGATAAAATCCTTTTCGATTTGAGTTTGGCGAGAGGCTTAGATTATTACACTGGAGTGATTTATGAAGCAGTTTTGACAGGTTAGATTTTAACTTGTTTTATATGATATACTAACTAAATTATATCAATCGGGGATCAGGGGATTAGCTGATAGTGGGTTTAAATCATACCTCACCAAAAATGCTGGTCAATAAAGGCATTTTCTTCGCAGATGCCATTTCGGTCTAAATACCTTGTTCATTGGAGAGGATTGCCTTTAGAACTGAAACTTAGCTCGAATTTAACTCTTGGCAAATTAACTAACTGGTTAGAATTCCATAACTTGCAACTTAACCTCAATAAGACCAAAATAATCCAATTCAAACCATATCAAAAATCTGGATTAAAAATATTGTACAGTTACAATGAAACGAAATTAGACGTTGTTAATTCCGCTACTTTGTTGGGTATTGAATTAGACACACATTTTAATTGGAAACAGCACATCCAAAAATTATCACTCACTCACTTTAGCAATTAAAACGTGTTAGCGATTTTCAGTCCGCTATTGTAGCTTATTTAGCGTACGTATATTTAATACTTTCTGAATTAGGAACCTATTGTTTTTCTGGAATATTAGTGATTGTAATTTAATGATGTTACTGGAGTGTTTAGTACTTTCTAGTTATGTATTGCAAACACTAATGTACAGTGATGGTTGTAGTGCATGAATAAACCTTTCTTGATTTTGTTTGCACTAATTGTATTAAAATAATTGATGAAATAAATTAATATAAGAAAGAACTGTTGTGAAAACTTTTCAACCCTTATTATTTGTTATTGAAAACCTTGAAACTTCAAGTAATTATTTCTTAGTCTCTGACGATCGCTGATATATAAAGCTACATGCAATTATAATATTAAGAATGTTTATTTCCTTTCAGAGCCAATTAAAATCGGTAACGAAGAACAAACGGTCGGCTCTATAGCGGGCGGCGGGAGATACGATAACCTTGTGGGCATGTTCGATTCTAAACATAAACAGGTAATACATATAATTATATCTTTAAGACATAATATATCCCCCCGTAGGACTTAGAGAGCATCAAAGATTATCATGAGCTTTATAACCTTGTTTTTTAAATATTTGTATTTTTTTTTATAATATTTCTTTTATTTCTTATTGTTGAATCTTATATAGTAACAATTTATTTGACCCATATTAGTATTTTCTATTATTAAAAAGTAATTCCGTTTGTGTTTCCTTTCACCAGGTACCTTGCGTAGGCGTCAGTATAGGCGTGGAACGGATATTTTCAGTGCTTGAAGCGAAGTTAGCTGCGGGTGAGATGCGAGTGCGAACTAGCGACGTGGACGTTTACGTCATATCCGCGCAGAAAAACTTCCTAGAGGAGCGCATGAAGATATGCAATGAACTCTGGAACGCTGGCATTAAGGTATATCTATACATATAAAAAAATGGTAGGAAAGTCAAAACTGTACATTGAATATTATTTTAAAAGAATACTTGGGATGTGATCTACAATCGATACCGAAGCCAAAAATATAGTTTGTAGAATTTTTGTCTGTTTGTATGTCCGGGATAATCTCAAAAAGTTCTACATGGATTTACTTCAAATTTGGCACGAATATTATTAAGAAGTCGGGTCAACATATAGGCTACATATTATTACGCTATCACTTACGGGGAACGAGCAGTTAACCTTTATTTCTAACTAACTCCACGCGTACGAAGTCGCGGTCGGCCGCTAGTATACAATAAGGGTGTTTAGGTAAATTTACGCCACAAGTTAGCGCCACTGTGACACGAGGTCTTTTGTATGAAGTTTTTGGCGCGAATTAATCGTAAGAGATTTTCAACTGCTCCACAGACTATGACGAAAACTATTCATTTCAGTTCAACATTCCAGAAAACCTTCATTAGCCTAACCTCAATCACTGTAAAGCTAGCACAACCCCAAATTAATCACTGCAAAGCTTATTTTATGAAATACTACAGTTACAAGAACTGCCTTGAGGAGTGAATGAAGATATGAAATTATCTTTGGAACTCAGGCATTAAAGTTCATATTAGCTTGCAGTTTTTTTTATAGACATTAATAACAGATAATATCTTCGTTTACCCTATTGATAGAACTTTCTTATGGATAGAATTACACAGTAAAAAATTATAGCCTCGATCAGCACTACCACTACCCAAAACTACATAGTTAAGTTTTGGGTAGTGCTGAATAAGGCTAAAAGTTTGATATTCGTATTGTACTGATTAATGAAAAAATAAATAAAAACTAAAAGTCTAATTTTATTGTAAAAAGTAAAGAATGTACAGATACCTCATACTTCTAACATCTCCCCTCTCTTTTTGCGTCAAGGGTTAGACGAAAGTCTATCTTATTATGTTTTCTAAAATGCATAGTTATGCGAACGGTACCCTATAGATCTGTTCGGGCATTGTTGTTACAAGTTATAGTGGAAACGAGAAACGCACGAACTCTTAAAGCAATACTCCTTTTTTGGTAGTCGTGTATTTAGAAAAAGCATTTTTTTTCAGACCGAACAATCGTACAAAAAGAATCCGAAAATGCTGACACAGCTGCAGCATTGTGAAGAAAATGGCATCCCCTTAGCAGTGGTACTGGGTGAATCGGAGCTTAAACGTGGTATGGTGAAAATCAGAAATGTGACGTCACGCCAAGAGGACGAAGTACCCAAGGAAAACCTCGTAGAAGAACTCAAGGCTCGATTACAGGCGCTAAGCAAAATTGGCATCAATGGCTGTTAACATTAAACACAGAATTGCTTCTTTTTCTCCTTCTATTTATTTTTATTTCTTAATTAGGTGAAATTTATTTTGATCTGATTCTTTATTCAAACAACGTCCAACAACAAAACCCGGTCCCATAGACAATTGGCAAACTTTCTAATTATAAGATGTTGTATGTCGCAAACTTGTGTGTTAACAATTCATTTATTTTGTGGGATTAACGGGTATGAAAATTGTTAGTGTTTACGGTACCGGGATATAGCCAAAAATAGTTCAAGTTTTATTTACACTTAGGTTGAAATTGGTGGCAAAATAAATGTTAACTGTCTCGAGAGTGAGATAATGAAGTCCTAAAAAATAGTATTATATATACAGGATAGCTTGTAATGTAAACAATTAAGGAGCATTTAGGTTACATTGGTCTACTTTTATTAACTGGTAACACTCGCACCAATAAATAACCGGATCGAAAATTCAGACTATAAATTCTGTCCCTATCGCACATCCTGTTAGTAAATGCGTGAGAGCATAATTTCTTGCGTTTACGCTTTCGATTCGTTTTTTTATTGGAAAACATTATTAAAATAGGCATACAAAATAGGCTATTTGACAAGTTTTTGAAAACGTTTATACGTTATTTATTTATGCATAGTTACTCCATAAAAAGTGGATATTTATAATTATGTTGCGTCATGCGTATATCAGTAAAAAAAGCGATGTTTTCAAATGTGTCGCGGAAACGTTTCTCTAGCAAATATGGAGTGATAAAGTGCAGGTGACGTCATATGGCTCTCATTGAAACGACAAACAGGACAAAGTAATGTCACTTCGCCAGCATATTTACAAGCAGGTGACGTCATTTAAGGCACCGCCTATCCAGGGCGTTTTCGGTCACGTGACAATATATCAGGAAATACTTTTCAATATCATGCTTATAGTATTATTATCAACTACTTTTTTTTATGTCAGAAAAGAAAAATCGCTCCCAATATTCATGTTAAATACACATATTTGTTTCTTAGGTTTTCACGCACATCACTGATTAAATAAAACTAGTTTTTACGGGTTAATGCACGAAGCCTGTAAAGGCTACGAAACGTCAATAAATAAATAAAGTTTCGTGCATTAACCCGTAAAAACTAGTTTTATTAAATACACATGCCAATAATTGGGACTTTATTTTTCATACTGTCAAATAGGCTATGGACTGAGCGCAACGATATTAAATACCCTAGATACACCACATGCGCTCTAGATGTGTCCCTATCAAGAAGTGCTTGAACGCGACTCAAGCACTTCTTGGTTCACACTTCACAGTCACGCGCGGACCGTTGAAAAGTCAACATGCCGCTCCGTGAACAATGCAAAATAAATACTTATAGTATGTAAAATGACGTTTTTTCGACAGGTATCTAATCAATGTTTTTTGATTTAACGCATTTGAAGCAAATTTTGTTTTAATACTTACTATTTAAATTGATTTAATAGAAAATATTTGTGATATTCAAATGCAGGGTCGGTAATATAGCCGTCTCTTTTCCTCACGGTCCGTACCTGCAATATTGCTAACAGCGCATTCAGAATTGCGCGTAGAGTCAAAGAAATAAGGTCTCTTCCGCATATAGCAATAAGTCGTAAAATTTTACGAGCTTAAATCTCGGACTGTCATAGTGACTCTTTGGCGCATGCTTTAAAGGTGATTTTCAATGTTTAAATAATGCCTTATATTATTTAGACTATGCGATCATCTTACGGGGCTCCGTGGATCGTATAAATATACCTTCTGGAAAGGTTTCGGGCATGACTTTGTTCGTGTTGGTGTATCTAGAGTATTTAATATTGTTGACTGAGCGACATTTGTCTTATAAAATTTATTTCTCTTCTAGAAAGAGAGGTAATACAGAATACAGCCGATATCATAGATATGTCTATGGCCGATACCTACCCGAACTATGGGCCGCCCGATTGCTTTCTTTCTCGCACTTGTTTGACTTTACAGTTGGATAGAAAACGCTCAGTCCTATGTCTATGGTCATTTAAGTAAATTCAGTTTAATGTTATTCTTACATATTTTTTCTATTTCAAAATAAGACGTTAAGGATTTTAAATTCTAAAGATTTACAAAGTATATCTCTCTAAAGAAAAGAGTATAACTTATTTAAAATTCCAATTAGACCATGCATTTCCGTTTTACAGATTAGTTTATTGTAGGTTTGTAGATAAGATTTTTCTTTATTAATTTATTTCGGAAAGTTAAACTACTTTTCTAATTTATAAATTACCCTACATACTACAAATACTTATTTTTTTGTAAATCGGCGAACAAGGATACCTACCTAATAAAATATGCTGCATAAGGAATAACGTGTTTTATTATCTTATTTTATATATTTACTAGCAGATCCACTGAACTTCATCGCCTTTGTCCTGTCAATAACGAAGAAAATAAAAAATAGCCGATTTCGTGCAGTCCTCGTTCCGAAGTTATGCGCGCGCGTACCTACATACATTTTTATTTATTTAAAAGAAGAAGGATAAGTGAGGATTCAGTCTTGTATACCTATCCTGTTTACTCATGCCCTAAAATTATTAAAATAGGGATAGAGCAGTTTAGGATTTTTAATAACACAGTTTTATCAAACAGGACAATATCTGTCGGATTTTCTCGTATCTACTTTATATAGGTACTTGATAACAAATATCATTTAGACATTATTATTTACTTATTTTCGCTTGCTGTTACAGAGCAAGGGCGAAGACCACACTATGAATACAGTTTTACAATAATTAACTATCAAATACATACTGAATACCTACAGTGGTCATGTACTTAACACACAATATGAATGAGCTACAAATTGTGGGAGTGGTGTGTTATAGGAAGCAGTGCGTAAAATTTAGAGTGATCCGGGTCGTATTGACATACTGTGAACTTAATAAATGAATAGTATTGACGTACAATACATCAATGATGAATACCCACTGTATAATATTGAATTGGATTCCCATATTATCCTAGCTAGAGCGAAAAAAAGAAAAAAGCATTAGTTTAATAACCGTTCTGCAAGGGAAGGTGTATGGCAGGGTCTTATTTTAAATTCTGGCGCCCCGGATCACTTAAGATTTGCAACTTCCTCCTTAGAATTAGGTAGTAAATCAAATCAAAATATAGGTTAGTAATGAATACCCATACCCAACCCATACCCATATGGCTTCTGCCGCCTTTTGCAGCCCCTAGCCATGACACTTTTGACACTAGGGTTAATACCACAGAGCAGGGCATACCCAAGCCTCTCCCTTTAGGAGAGTCAGATGGGTCTATGTGGCCTCAGGAGTTGCATTTTTGGCTTATAATAGAAAGCCTCACCCTAGCAGCCGTTGAACCAGTCCTGGGGCTAGCCGATCAAGTTAATAGTACCCCGGGGATGACTCTTTTGACCCCTGAGGGCCAACCCTTGGGTTTGACCCTAGTTAAAACCACAGGGTTAGGGCGTACACAAGCCTCTTCCTTTAGGAGAGTCAGATGGGTCTATGTGGCCGCTGGAGTTGCATTTTTGGCTTATAATAGAAAGCCGCACCCGAGCACCTGTTGATCCTGTCCTGGGGCTATCTGAGCAAGTTAGCGGTACCCAGGACTATGACCCTTTTGACCCTAGGGTTAATACCATAGGGTTAGGGCATACTCAAGCGTCTTCTTTTAGGAGAGTTAGATGGGTCTATGTTGCCTCTGGGTTATAGTAGGAAGTCTCACCCGAGTAGCCGCTAAGCCAGTCCAGGTTAGCTGAGAAGTTAGCCAGCGGTAGTTATAAGTTGGTTCTGCATAGAATATTGCTCGCATTTCTAGGACGGCTGCGTTAAATGCTCACTTTATGTTTAGTTTTGGAAAGGTTGACTTGCAGCAGTCGCACGAATCATGGCAATGTAGTATTTAACTAAGCCTAAATTTAAACTATTGGAGCTCCACAGTGAGATTTTATTCTACAAAATCGCCCTACAGGTTTTTAATGCGTTGCTTAGAATTAAAAAAACCGGCGGAATCGCGCACGATGGGTTCCGTACATCATTATCTATATAAAATTAGACACTATATTATAATATCAGAAAAAAATGCCAAATAATCACATGTGTCGTAATGTTCCCCTTAAATATATATTTTAATTTTAAGTATTTATTTTTAAAGTGAATATACAACCAAGTATTTTGGGAATATTTGAAGCGTTTACCTGTTGCCGTTATTAATATAGATAGAAAAAATGGCAAATAATCACGTTTTTTGTAAGGAAGCACCCCTCAAATATTTATTTTGACCTGTTTTTAGTATTTGTTGTTATATCGGCAACATAAATACATCATCTATGATAATAGCAACTGTCTAGCTATACGGTTCATGGGATACAGTTTGGTGATAGACAGACAGACAGAAAGCGGAGTCTTAGTAATAGGGTCCCGTTTTTACCCTTTGGGTATGGAATCCTAAAAAATATTAAAACGATATTTTTAATATATCAAAGCGGCAGTATTAAGGCAAAACTACTCCGATATACCCGATATAGGTCATGGGCTAACGCACTTGCGTACCCGCCTGCCCTGCGTTAAATTCGGCCCTGACAATACAGCGGAAAAATAGTAAAACTTATTAAAGTAGGTACTTTAATCAGCGTCTAATCTCCTTGAATTAAATAATAAAGAGACAATGTGCGTTGTGTTGGGCAGGTAGGTACTTCTACTGTTTTGAATGAATAGTTTTCAACGGAAAACTATCCTTGACTGTTATCATTGATACTACGGCGTGGAACCGAACCGTTAACACAATCCGTTTTACTACACAAATGTTTAACGGATGTTTGGAATTTAACGTTGTCCAATTTAACCTGCTGTTAGCATACATTTTTTTGTTGATTGATTGTTTTGCATCGAAGATACTTTTTAATGGATGTTTATCTACACATCTATTTACACACATTATATGTAGATATTATAAGTTCTCTATCCCATCCGATGATTAGCTGATGTGACAATGAATATTCACTCGTTATTAACTTTTTCCAGCGGAAAGCAATATCCTATCAACAGACAGGGCAATTTGGATTGTCAATGATTCCAAGCTAGCAGAAAAATAACAACCTTTAGATATGATGCACAGAGATTTTAGATGTCTGCGCGTATTCTGTTACAATAAAATTGTTACACACGGCACCATTTTATCACCGCCAAACCAACACCCATATTAACAGGAAACACTGGAGTCCACAACTGTTCGTTTCCAGAGATCTTTTGTTCCACACACAATAAAGTTGTAGAGTGAGCTCCTCTCCACAGTATTCTCCCAGTGCTATACACTCAACCCCTTATTAATAAACGAAGACTACGCTTGGATTAGTTACTCCATGTTTCGCCTCTGACTATTGAATGACAAATGGCATTAGAGTGACATGAACGAAACACGGCGTAACTATTCTAAGCTTATTCCTTGTTTATTAATAAGGGGCTCAGTGTTATGGCATTGCTGATGTGCCCACTTAACATTAGATGGCACGTCTGCTCGGATTTTTGAAAAAGATTGGAAACAATGGGCTATTAAATTCATTTTGTTATTGGACAATGTCTTCAATCATTTACAACTGAGGCGTGTAACGATCAATATAAGGTATTGCTACCCACTCCTACCTGGTGGATTAGTATGTGCTACAGATATAAAATACCGTAGGAAATCTTCCATAATCGATTGGATATGATAATAATCCATTGCGGCCAGCCAATTATTATGAGAAATGTCTCTGATCACAATAATGAAATGATCCCCGCATAAGTATCGTAACGACTCCAAATGTGATTTTGATTTTACATGTACTTTCTTTTTGTTGGTAAAGTATTTTATTTGTGTCATTTATCACTGTACATTGATGATTCATTAATCATAAAGTTATTAGTAGCGTTACTTTCTCTAAACATCTAAACATATGACAGGTACGTACCTAATGTAAACAAAAGTCAGTGTCAGTCAATAACAGTAAAATACTGCCCGTAAAAATTCAAAAATAAAAAGATTCAAATTTTCGCTGTCGAGTGGAACACGTTAATGGATATTCCAATATAAAATGTCTCTGACCATGTCAGTGAACCTAAAGGGCGGACGTAATATTCGGCAAAAATTAAAATTAACTGGATGTACTTACCTCCGTAGATACTTATTAAATAAATAAATATTTTTAAAATAATACTATACATACAGTTCTCTAGTTCTCTGCTATCTATTGATGTTGGTATATATAACACTTATTACATAGTAGGGAGATGATGATACAATAGAAACCACCAAGCCCTAAGACAAAACTTCGTCTTTATATATCTTTCAGTCGACTATATAAGTCGACCGAAAATTGAACCCGGTATCGTGAAAAATAGACACATAGGCTTAATTGCGTATGATCATCTCTCGGCTACGGATATGTTGGGAGACGACTAGAAACGAAATGAAGTAGGTTTATCTAACTTAGCAATTTGAATGTAACTAACTGTTATCAATCACACAGCACCAAAGCTTTGGCGCTTAATTCATTGACCTTACGTCAATGCCCCCGATTAGGATTTATTGACCTCGACCGGTAAGCCTCAGTGGCTCACCGCACGTCCGCGTGCTTCTATTCCAATAACGTCATGTCATGGACGGCGTCAACGTAGTTTGGTCACTCATTGTTCCCGTCAACAGCCTCGGTGGTTCCTGTCATTGTATCCTAATTCGCCGTGAAGTCCAACACGATTTCCATCAATATAAAACAGTTTTTGCAATTAGAATCCCACTTATTACGCGTTTGAACGTTTTGGCGTCGCTACCTATCTGTGTGCAGTCAGCTTTTGAAAGTGTGATGAGATGATTCCACGTTTTAAATTGTATTTTAATTTTTTGATATGTGTTGCTCTTTTAACTTCGAGTGCAAGTGCGAGTACATCTCCAGTGGTGAAGGAAGCTTTAGAAGATCATCTGAAGGATGTTGCACACAAAGAAGGAGCAGAGTCGATCAAAATCGACAAACAAAAAGGCGAAAAAATTCATCAAATTGAAAGTGATATAAATGAAAGTCACAAAAACCAATTTGCCAAAGCAACTGATGAAGGGAAATACTTGAAAAAGGATCATGATTTGAAAGCGGCATCTGAAAGCGATGCATATGAAGGTTACAATGCTAAACAGGATAAAGCGGAAGACAGTCAAGCTAATGGATTCAAAAGAGGTCATAAAAAGGGGCACCATAAACAAGGTTTCCAGAACTCTTATCACAAAGATGAATCATCAAATAAGAGTACCTTTTTTGATGACTTCAACGATGAAGGGGATCAGGCTGCTTATAATAGTCGTTTAAATACATATGATAACCAAGGTGGTAGGAGTTATCAGGGATCTCATAAAAATGGAAAAGAACAAGTGCGAGATGACTATGCCGCTGGGGGTTACAACAGGCACGGTGAAAACGGCTTAAAACATGTAGGGCATCACGATTATGGAAAGAAATACTATTTGAATGACGATGAACATTATAATAAACTTAACAATGGCCATAATGCTTATGACAGAAATCGTCATTATGATAGGCAAGAGCAACATCTGCCCCCTCCACCTCCTCCCCCACCACCTATTCATCACCATGATCCAGCTTGGGATTTAAAAGGTTGGGACGACAGACGTGGTTGGGATGATCGACGGGACTGGCACCGCGACGACTGGCAAAGGGATCCCGGCTGGGATAGACACTACGGCGGTCCAGGGTATTATGACGATCATGGCATTCGACACGATGGCGGATATGGCTATGGACCTCACCATGGTTATGGGTATGGATACGATGAAACTCGAGCAAATCCAGTGGCTCAAATCCCTAAGGACAGCCCTATTGTTGCTCAACGAAAACAAACTATTACGATATACGAAGATCCCAGATATAATGGAAAGGATAAAGGGCAATTACGACGTGAAGAAGGGGACTATCTCGAATTGGAATTTAAACCAAGTAGTCATCGTTATGCTAGTTATGACGATACATATTATAGTGCTCCAACCAGAGAAAAAGGAATGGAGACTAGTAAAATAAATAGACTTGTGTATAACTACAGACGTCAGTAATAAGTGTAACGGGAGAATAATCTTATTCCTATTGCATAAAAGTGCTTTCTAGAGATACTCATTAAAGTATTCACTTATTTATTGTTAGGCATGTTGTTTAGTCATATAATTGAATGGGGACGGTCAGACGGTGGTGGTTCGTCACAGGGCAAACTAATAAGGGTAATTTATTATACAAGTTTCAATTGAAACTATGGAATTCGTTTTTATCTCTAAGAAATAAAAGCGAACTGTAAATAAATGGAATCCATTTCCATACTCAAACTGATTTTTATTTTTATATTTCCTTTCGATTTAAGTCACATCTCAGCTATTCATGTTATGTATCCAATATGGAAGGACATCTTGATATTGCATATTTGCCGATATTCATTGAGTCGTGGAAGGCAAATACAGGTACTTTGTAGGGAAAATTCCTGAGGGCAGTTGCTCACTGATAGACGGACGGCGAGTCGGGTGCCAATATGGCAGGCTGCGCTGCGGACCGGAACGGCGGCGATCGGTGCTCGCGAGCGTGCAAAATCGTATTATTAGCTCAAGTGAGAACCATTTGATCCAACTTTAATATTTTTGCTAATAAACAAAAAATAAAGCCAAACAAAATAAGCTGCAAATTGCTATTTACCTACCAACCTGCGTTACTCTGCTCCTTCCCCATCTCTGATGACATCACAATTTGTTCACAGCGGCGTGAATTCCGGCAGAATTCGCAAAACTCCTGGGTGTCTTTGACGATAATTCCAGCCAAGTTTCCGAATTAACTCGCTTTATTACCCTTTCCGCTTTAATTAAAAGACATCGTTGTTGAGGCACTACCCACTCGTAGATATTTTTCAGTGCTTTTATTTGTAATTTAAATTTTGCAACCCTTCGTTGTGGTTCCGCTGTGGGGGAACAAACTAATTTAAACGCTAAGCTCCCGACAAAGTCTCCTTTTATAATATGTATGGTCTGGGTAACATTTTAAAATTGGATTAGCGACCATCCGTTCTCGTTCATCCATTGTTTTAGGGTTTTTTTAACTAAAAATGCTCCTCGTTTGTTTTATTTAGGAAACACTTGAAATAAATACACGATCATAATTTGACCAAGCAAAGAACGTAAGTAATCCCTTTCAAGCAATTCCACGTTATTATGTTAATAATGGTAAGATAGATAATTTATTCAAAAATAACTGAGGATGCAAATTAGTTTTACCTAAGTTAACTATACCTACTTCCCATCATAAAACTTAACGTTTTTTCTTTTGAATAAACATGAGTACAGTCAGACAAAAGTTTGGTGGTTATGAATATTACCAGCCAATCTGCAATTTTAAAAATATCTCTTGCACTTGTGTCAGTCTCTTTGAACGCTATGTTTATCGAAGTTGAATTAATCAATGAGTTTGTTTACATACCTGAGTCCTTTGTGTTCCTTTGTAGTTAAAGGTGTGATTCGCCTAATTTGTAAAACAATATGGTGTTTGCTTGACTTTGAATTAGGACGGATTATAAGGATCCCGATGAAAAAGCTTAAATAAATTAATAATCATGAGTATCATTGCCTATTAAAAAAATAACCGTGCAGAAAGTAAGTTTAAAGACTAGTAAAATAATGATTGATCGGAAGAGATATTACAAAGTAATGCATTACAATAATTTCAATTATTATGAAATTTATTTTAAATACGAAGAATTTTCTTGTTTTAAATATCTGTTTCATTTCGAATTCAAGGTTTTGTTTCACAATCTGATTTTTTCTGTTAAATTTAGTTACCTATTTAAACTTTCTAAGGAGTTCAGAAGTGCAATCACCTTCGATTAATCTCTCTTTCTTTCTTTTATTGTACTTCTAACGACTTATCCTAGGGCACTAAAGCAATTTCAAATTGGACGCCCAAATAACAAGCCAATAATCGTTAGCAGCGATCGGAAAACAAAACTGTGATTATATGGTATTATCTTGAGATTTTCCGTCCCTATCTGTTACTTCGTAGGCGATATATCCTTCTCATTTTTCACGAGAGGGGATAGACGAGATAGAGTGACATTACTTTAACGAACTTTCGATGGTCTATTGCAGGATGGGGTTGGAGAAATATTTCCTATACGGATTCAAATCCGATTTGCAAGGACTTAAAGCGAGTTAGCTCAAAATGTATTTTCAATTACTTATTAAGTAAACAGGGTAGCAAGTTTTTTTTAGCAGCAATTGAACTTCAAGTATAGGTTTTCCATAACCTTTATTAGAACTATAACGATTTAGTGAAAACATTACATCGTTCTTAAACCTGGAATAGTTAATAGCTTCACTAAACCGAAAACTTCTTAAAAAGGAATACAATTATTTCCATGTAAAATCTCAGGCGTAGGTAGGACTGCACGTTAGAAGTGAAAACGTATAGGAATAGTAATAAAGTTTTGATTTATTGCACTGTGTCACATTCATGAAAAAGAGTGTGATTATTATGTATGGATATAATACAAACAAATTTATAATCCATATAAAATTAATATAATTTTATATACGCCAGTGTCTGTACATACCTACATCTGTATATTTATGTGCTTCTTGGTGACGGTCACATTGGTTACGTGTTTTTTTACCATCCCAACCGTTATCGACAAGCTTAAAAAAATTCACTTCGAAACTAGTTTTGTATAATATTTAAATATTAAATAACGACATCATCTTTACATATAATAAATTGGTAGGAAAGTCAAACCTGTACATTGAATATTTTTTTAAAAGATTAATTGGGGTGTGATCTATAATCGATACCGAAGCCAATAATATAGTTTTAAGAATTTTTGTCTTTGTCCGGAATAAACTCAAAAAGTACTGCATGGATTTACTTCAAATTTGGCACGAATATTATTAAGAAGTCAGGTCAACATATAGACTACATAAACGGGGAACGAGCAGTGAACCTTTATTTCTAACTAACTGCACGCGTACGAAGCCGCTAGTATATAATATATGTTTAATGTAAGTCTCACGAAAATTCTCCTACTTAAGCAAGCTATTCGGTCAAAATACCCCGCAGAAGTTGCGCGACGTTACAATGAAGTCGCACGACTCTTCTTATCCCGACGCTGTTTATTGTCTGAGTCGGTTAGATGGCTGTTTTGTCGCCGATTCTCGACGATTCACGTTATATGAACAAGTTCCTCCATACTTTTACAAGTGGCTTTATAACGCCCGATATGTGTATTTTGTTTTTTTTTACGACTACGATGTTTGCTATACAGCTTTTAAAAAGCATTAAAGTGATTTTTGAAATGTTTAGGTAGATAAGTACTTAAATTTAATTTTATTAAAAATTAAGGAATATTTTTTACATGTAGAATAATTTATGTTGTATTTTAATATTGAAGGATTTCAATGATATATTTTAGTATCATCTAAAAGCAATTTTTACCAGTAAATACTTTTAATTTTTATTTATTGGATAAATAATTACCAATGTAATACACAATAATATTAGATATTTTACTTCATATGAAATTTGTTATTTAATTACTTATTCTTTATTACAGTAAAAACAGTAAATGGCGGATTTAATGCCATAGGCATGCTCTACTAGTCAACCAGTAAAGGTGTAGGAGACGAAATGTTATTTTTGGTGTAATTTTATTTTTCATATAAGGTGCCCAAAAAACCTCACTCGACTTGATAGGTATTGAATGCAATAGAAAGCCTAGCTGTGAAGGTAGCTACTGTGGTGGCAAAGACCACAGAACACAGAAACCTTTTTCTGTGATCTGTGTCTGTGGCCAAGACCCTCGTCCAATATATGCATTGGTCCTACCGATGCGACGTAGTAACATCAAACATAGCTTCTAATTTTAATATTTATGTCAGCACATATTAAATAATTGTATTTTGAACTATTATTTATTTATCTATTAGTTATTTTTAAGATTCTCTTAATAAAATACTATCTAATTACCTACCTCAAGTTTTAATGATCACTTTAAAAAAGAAACTGAAATTGTCGTTTTATTCTAATCTTACTATCGTATTTTGAATGATCGACAGGCTTACACATCGTATCGTTCGTTGTAAGTGGTTCTCAAAGGGGTACTCGTTGAGTCGTGACGAATTCATTGCCTGTAGCTAACTAATTGCTATGAAATAAAACGGTCTCATGGGACAGCAGCCCCGATTTTGTTTTAATCGAAATTTTCCGCGTACACCGTCATAAAATCGGCGGTCGATGCAAACTAAATAGACTTAAACATTGGCCTATTACTATCTTCTTCGTGAATTTGAAATGAATGACTTGGACAAAATTAAATTGTTTGATTTTACTTGACGTATCTATAACAACTAATGAAAATATTTGATTTTATATGACATGTGAATAAAAAAAAGCAGTCTCCTGCCGTAGATTAACGAACCCATGCATCGGTGTAGGATGCAAGTCTAAAAATCGTATATTTTTTGTTTTCCCATTTTAAATCAACTTTTATACACAAATTATACATTATTTAAAAGCAAATATATTCAAGATTATCTGAAAAATAAATTATGATGATATCTTTATTAACACAAGAGTTTTAGATTTTTGAGATGAAAATGAGTCAATGTTCCCATAGTGCGATGGCGCAGTTTTCGACTTTGGCATGTGCTTGTAAAAGCCTAAAATGAATAAATTATTTTTGAATTGAATTGAAAAAGCTAGGTCATTGATTGTTCATAAAACTTAAGTAAATTATGTTTTACTAGCTGTGCCCCGCGGTGTTGCCCCCGGTTTATTTGGGATATTTGCCCGCAGTAAAACGTAGCCTATGTGTTAATCCAGGGTGTCAGCTAACTCCATACCAAATTTTATTAAAATAGCTCCAGCCGTTTAGACGTGAAGAAGTAACAAACATACACACTCTCACACTCACAAACTTTCGCCTTTATAATACTAGTGTGATGAACAATTGATCCACAATCCACATATATAATAAGCGAATAAATTTTTGGGGAGTTCCCTTACTAAGTTACCGTAAAGTGTATGCTTCGTAAGTTATTTATTGGTGGGCGCTACGTCTTGTTTGCGTACAGCGCTGCGCAATACGTTATACAAACAGCCTTCAGGTGAATTGCGGTCTGTAGTTTTGCTTATTAAGGAGACCAATATGGCGGACGTTGATAAGATTTCGGTTTGTCTTGGCGCGCCTCCGTGCCTGAAGGCGGCTTGCGGGCATTTGGAGTTCAAGCTACTGTAACGTGTGCGACGCATGGAAAGCTGCTCTACTATACAGGTGTAAATAATTCCTT